CACCCCAAACTTTAGATACACTGTTTTCTTGCATTTTGCAAGTATTTTCTCCATGGTTCCAGAGATAAGAGTAGTTTTAGATATTAGATGCAAATAAAATAATTCATGAGAAACAATGTATTCCTTTTTTCTTTACTCTGGATTAACAGATTACAAACCTGTAACTTCTACTCTACAAAAAAATGAAAAAGGAGAGGGGAAAAAAACCCCAACCCAACAAGAAAGCAAGTGTCTTAAGAATTCAGCCTTACAAGAAAATTTTGAACCCATAGATTCACTTGATTTGCTTGCATACTGTAGGATGTTACAGAAATCATTAAATATTTAGAGATTTCAGCTTTTAAAAAAATATATACATTTAAAAATTCAGACTGAACCTTCAAATTCAACAGGCTTAGTCAAACACCAACATATTTAATGTCAAAATGAAAAGTCAATATTGTTTAAGTAGGCCATTATGAAGGGTAACATACCTAGCTGTCTTAATTATTTATAGAATGCTCCAAGCACTGTTTTAGCAAAAGGACATAAAATCCAAGATCTGATGTTTGAAAGATTACTAGCACAAACTTTTATAAATTACCATTTAAAAATCATAGAATTTTAGTTTGATGTTGAAGTCTGATCAAACAGTGCACATATAGATAAGAATAATGAAATATTATTTCCACTTTAATGACCCTAAAAATTGCAATTAGCTGGTAATTGACTGGAGATTGCTAATATATATATATATATATATATGTAGAGATATTTTTTTCTGGAAAATCATTGTACAGGCAATACCTGACTCTGTAAGGTACACAGCGTGCCTCCCTTCCATCAGCTAGAGAAGCCTCAGTGATCACACCTGCACCACTGCAGCCTTCCTTCCAGGAAGGCCCCGCCGCTGCCATGCAGACCCCAAGGGAATCCTGGTTGACACTGCCGCTCCAGGTTGGGATGCTCCAGCTACCACAGACACACACACTAAACACAACTGTCACAGCGTTTCCAGCATACAGGAAAACAAGGCAGCAGAGCAGTTTGCTAAAAACTCAGACACTGACCAAATCAGCATCAGGGAACTGTACAAGACTCTCAGGCACTCCCCAGAACTGAGAAGAAAAAACCAAATGGAGTGGGGTAGGGCAAACACTTCCCTACGGGAAGAAACAAATACATCTCAAAAGAATAAACTTTATGAAACCAGATAGTTACATTTGCTTCAAGATAGATACTGCAGCAACATAATGATGAAAAGCAGATTACCTTTGCTCACACACTGCTAAGTCTCAAGATATGAGACTTCAATCTTTACAATTCTTCTTAGCATTTCTAAGCAAGAATAATATTTCTTACTACTTAGAGTCTCCTAAAGGCTTTAACCTCTACTAAAAAAACCTTATACTTGTGACATGCATAAATGTGTCATATATTATATTTACTTTAACAAATAATCTAATAAATTCTGATTTAGTCACTTGAATTTCACAGAATTTTCTCTGGTTCTCGACTTACAAAAAAAGGCTGAATGGAGCCAACTGAAGCAGATCAGAGAACCAGAGACAGAACACTGGACTGAAGTGGCATAGAGCAGTTATCTACTAAAGAGTTTCAGAAAAAAAATAAAACAGAAAAAACAAAAACCAAACCCAAACGACAAGAAATGCATTTCCCCCCAGCATTCCTATAACTGATCACTAGCCTAGCATTCAAGTGCTTTCCAAGACAAAAATAATTTCTTGTAACTTCAAATTTGGTAGGCCTTAGATGTTATTAGATGTTAATAAATGTTATTTCCTATACTTTTTCATATATGTTTATGTATTTTTCATCCCCTGTCCCTATACAAAGGAATTTTAAAGCTTTTAGTGTCTTTCCACATTAAAGTTTTACCCTCATCTGAGTCATTCCCCTATCTAAATCTTCTATACATTAACTATAGCAATGAGACTCCTAAAGCTGCAATGATATTTGATAAAATGGTATGTCACTGCTTCACAAAAGACACAGTATTATCCATATATTCTTTTGCAGACTGATTTGCATTTTTTACTAAATTTAACCTGAGCTGCCACCCATGGCAGGATACTTTCCTAAAAGAATACAAATCACTGCACTCTAAGCTATTTTGTAAAAGACATTTAAAAGATTCCATCTAATGTACACTACTCTTAATTTGTTCAAAATAAAAGTCACAGGCCTTTGTGCTATCAATCCATTTAGCTTCATATTAGGTGCTTTATATTGTTCAGTATCTTCTGATCCTTACTAAAAGTGACATTATACTAATTTAAATATTTTTAGACTATATGGTGCATGACTTACACTATTGCCTTGGAGGATGCAACTCTCAGTGTTGTACCATAATTAATTTTTTGAGATTTCTCTTTGGCTAGTAGACAGCCAGCAGTCTATACTTCACAAGCAGGCACCTCTATTCATGACTATTATATTATTTTGGCTTACTGGAGAACTGCTGCTTTGGGTGCCTTGGTAAAATAGCAGGAAAATGAACTAATACTCCCTTTCCTTGCCTCAAGTCGTAACCATGAAACCAAGGCCATACCTGTTTATTGTTGTTGAGCAAAGACTAAAATGTACAGCTAAAAAAAAAAAAAAAAAAAATCTGGTCCAATACACCTGGAAGGTCTACTGAAAGTATTTCAAATTAAAGAACAATAGAAGATTTTCTCCTTCTCCTGGATGTGAAACTGCAGAAAATTCTCTTCCAGATAGTCTTTCAGTCACCAGTGTGCAGAGGCTAAGAGCAATAAACAAAATAAATAATTTTTCCTTCAGGAAGATGCTGAACATAACTGACCTGAGATTTCTTGCCCTATCCCCTCAGACAGTTTGTTGGCAATAGCTAACATAGCTCCCCTGAACACATGGGAAATATGGCAGTTATTATTCTGGGAGAATATGGTCACTGAGGACAAAATGTGCAGTACTTCACTGCTCAAGCTGTGGGATGGTGCCTACATCAGAAGCCACCTCAGGAACCAGTCTGTCTTACATGTCACCTTAATTATTTTTAATCTGGTTCTGAAGATTAGTCAAAGAAAGAACTGCAGAAGAAAGGGCACAGAACTTATGTTTTGGAAGCCACTTGAGGCAGCAGAGAAAGGATTAAGGCAAGGAGGTGACCACACCAGAAGACAGACTTCAAATAATCTGCTGTATACTTCTCGTGCCCTACAGTGGGAATATGAATGGAAATACCTTACTCTTCTGCCCTAAAAAGAGGCTTTGTTTTTGTATCTCATGCACCTAAGAATATCTGACAAAATAATGACAAAAACTTGCAGATGTATCCAAAACAGAAAAGCTGAAGAGTACTGTTCCACCTTTCCCTAATTACACAGTGACTCACACCCTGTGTTCTCACAAACTTGGAAAATGGATGATGGGAGCTGTGCTTCAACAGCTGAGATACACACAATGGGAGGGGACGAGGACATGAAAACATCCCCAGCAAATTTAGTCTGTCCTACAGCCAGTAAACAGAAACCTTAGATTAGATAAGAATGTCTGCTTGACATAGCTTATGGCTTGCAACTTACAGAAGTCATCCAATTATTAAGAAAGCTGAAGAAAAAAAAATATTGTAAATAAATTGCAAGCAACATAAATGCAAAATTTAGAACAGATCATATCAAAAACATTTAAGAAT